AAAGAAACAACTTCTTCATGGGCACTCGTTCCGAATCGGTGGCGCGTCGCTCCGTTGGAATTTGGGAGCTGACAAGGATGAAGTGAAGAGGTGTGGTCGTTGGTCCTCAGACGCTTACATGATCTACTTGAGGAAGTTTTCTGCTAAAGACCTGGAAGCAACGAGGAAGTTGATGGTCGATCTGCACTGGGTATCACCTAAATGATTGGTTGTTGGGATCACTCTTCCGCGTGAGGTTGTAAGCTTGGTTCTTGTTCTTCGAACTTGTCACGTCGAGTGCTTTCTAATGAATTCGAAATACCTCTGTTCCTTCCAAGTTGATCGGCATTTAGGAGGCTAGATGTGATCGCTCTTCTAGCTTATTCTGAGTCTCCTGTATAATTTGTAACATAAGCCTTTCCTAGAGGTATGATACAGGTAGAACTTTGTTTGCTTGTGATAATTCTATACTGTGGTACAGCCTGTTTTTCCGGCTGGTACCGTTGTGTGTTGGGGTGTCTCACGGAAGACCGAAATATGGGGGCTTCCCTAGGCTCACGGTTCAGTCCCCCGTGAGTTATGGGGAAGAGAAGACCCCATCGGGTCTCCTTGTTCTCAACCCGACTGAACGGTTATTTTGATGGTAGACGTCTACCATTGAGACCCGCTCCGCCGGGGACTACCCCCACACCACCCCAGTAAGAAAAATCACCTTAAGATAAAAAGATTTAAGTTGATCTTTTTATTGGCGTGGTTACAAGGATTCCTCATGGAGGTTTTCCAAATTCCTGTAACAAGTAACGAGCCAACCAAAATACATCTGGCTGAGTCGAACTGTAGAAAAACAGAGACTCAACCGATGCACCCCCTCCTACTAGAACCCTACAGATATAGTAGTGGACTGACTATATCATCCTCTTATGATTATTTTATTTCTCACTAGGTAAACAAAAGTATTGTTGAAAAACATAAAGAACAATTGTTATTCTTATTTCATTCACCACCAACATATTTAGTAAAATTGATAAAACACATGCAAAACTATTCTTAATTTTATGGAAAAGAGAAAACACACATTTCATGTGATCTTTGTACCAAAACTAAAACACATCATACTTGTATCATTTGAGTCAATTGGGATTTTGATTGCAGTTGTTGGTTTGAGTAATGAGAAGACATAATTTAATCTGATTGAACAATATTGAGGTCATCCTTTTTTTTCTAGCACCCTGATAGCATTCACCTGTAATTTCAGCACATCTGTTCATACAGATCACTGGACTGCAGCTTTAAGCTACTCTGATATCACATCAATCACCATTACACAATTGTTTACATCAGGAAATTGGGTTTCACTCTTGATGTTGAAGATATCCAAAGCCTTCTGTAAGTGTGGAAGCTTGTTGGCTTTGATGTGAAATACTGGTGATAGCTTGATTGATGTCAGCTGAGCAAGCTGCCTTCTTATTTTCAAGCTTAAGTGCAGCTCTAGCCTTGAAAACCACATCAATGAAAGCTGAAGCAATCACAGTTGCAAGTGTCACAGGATTGACCTTGCAAGCTGGTGTTGTCTTTTTTGACATCAGAGACAGGAGTAGGCTTTTTCAAAGTCAAAGGCTTGAGATCTTCTTTTTTGATGGTAGAGATAGTAATAGTTCTGTTTGGGGTTTAATGCTTGAGACATTCTGAGTCTGTTCCATTGATACCAATGGTATCACAGGTTACACTTGTATAAAAATAGAAAAACAGAAAAAAATTGCTACTAATGACCTGATTGATTTACCTTTCCTTTTTCACTTGAAACGTCTTTGTCTTCTTCAATCAGCTATTTATCTGAAACTTTGACTACTTGAGGATAATCCTCAGCATGTCTTTTTTGTGAGTTAATCCTTCTCCAAACACTTCACAATATTGCTTGTCTTCTAAATACTTTTGATCTACTATCATTATTTCCACTTCCTGATCCTCCTTTGCCTTGACTTGCAAATCAGAATTCATTCCAGTACATAAAGCCCCAGCCAGTTTAGATGCATGAAGGAACACATCCATCTCATCATACAGGTCAAAATGTTTAGTTTGGAGCTTCATGGCATCCTTATAATTCTAGGAAAGATCAAACCAAAGGCCAGATAGATTGATATCAAGCAGAATACCAGATGCAACAACTGACCTTGCCTCCAGTGTCCCAACTCCCACCATTCATCTGGCATGTTGATCTTGCAACCACACATCCAATTCCAGGGTTTCCTTTGACTCTTTTGATTCCAGTATAAGAATCTTTGTTCTGAATCAATAGCTGAAGAAAAAAGAAAAACAACATTGATTGAAATGGGGATTTGATTTGGAATTTGATCTTGAGTGAAGGAACAATGAATGCAAAGATAACAAGATAAATCCACCAAATTGGATACATTTTGACATCATGTCTTTTGGATATGCAAGATTATATCAAGTATGGACATTGGTGTAAGCAATTGGTTTCCAGTCTTCACCAATCATATCACCATCCTCTTTTTGAGTTAAAAATTTATTGAGTGCAAATCAAATCTTGATATTGGTTGAGTTTGCCTTTGTACACTTTGGGGCGTGTGGGTCCTTCTTGACTCAAAGCATGCTGTCTGATATTTCCAAGGATGGTTTGGAAGTTGAGCTCAAACAACAAAGGAGGAGGGCTGGTGGTTGAAGGTGAAAGTGGAAGAAGAGAAGTCAAGAGGGAGGCACTGTAAAAATTATACATTCAATTTCTCCTCAAGTGGGAATGGAAAAGATATTAAGAGTATAGTTTGTAATAAAACAACTTACCACTGCACACTTGAGCCATAACACCCACACTACATACATGGAGCAGGCTGAGTGAATGAGTGGCTATCATGTACATACAGATTTGCTCAGTTATCTGCTCATCTGGATAATTGAATCATATGTAATACATGCTGTAACTTTTTTCAGTGTGACACAAGCATTCCAAAAATTGACTACATACACCGACTGAAAGCTTTGGTGTAATTTAATTGACAGCACTTTATGTAACACCCTTTCTGTTACTGAAAAATGGCTACAAGAGTATTGCCCAAGTAGCTATGAAGGTATATGTAATCAATTTTTGGCACAATTTTGTCAAAGTGAAAAACATTACATGATGTATCACATGTGATTTACTTATTTAGTAGGGCAGACAACTGAGCAGACTTGTATGTACGTGAAAGCCATTTATTGACTCACCCTTCAGCACATATGTAGTGTGGGTTTTATGGCTCAGGTGTGCCAAGGTAGATCCTTGTATGACAAACTATGCACTTGATAATTTTCCCATTCCCACTTGTGGATGATGTATAATGTTTACAGTGAGGGAAGATGATGATCCATCAACTGTGCAGCATATATTCTTCCTTATAATAAACTCATTACATATGAATAAATTACATGTAGTAATTACAATAAACCACACTTGTAATACAATCAAATACAATTACATACATGTGATAACCAGTTACACATATGCCACACAAAATACTCATTTCTATTCTTACTTATATTCATTTATTCTATTTCTTCTAATCTATTTTCTATATCTTCTCTTACTATGTCATATTCAGAAAGATCCACAATATTCAAAAAACAATTTACACCCGGATCAATATGGAAGATGATCCAGAATGGTTTGTTATAGAAAATACATTGCCAGCATAGATGCCTCGGGTTGAGAAATCCGAGGCATCATCGGAGGCAAATCCTCGGACAGACCTTGTCCGAGGTTTTCGCCTGAGGTATTTTTTTGCCCTGAGAATTACCTCGGATCAAAACCTTGGGAAGCTTCTGTCCAAGGTTTTGCATCCGAGGATACCTTGGATTTTGTAATCCGAGGATAAATATGTTGTCAATGATAACTCCATGTAGCCTGCCCTTAGTTCAAGCAACTGAGTTGGATTGGGAACTCAACTTGGCAGCTGTTTGTCTAAACCTGAACTTGTTGAGATGTGGAGACCTCCAAGAAGAAAAGTATAAGGCTCTTGTGCTATCAGGATGGATTATAATACAACAAATGACAAAGGTTATTCAGGGATTCTATGGGGATTGAAGTTACACATACTCAATGTAGCTTATCACATGTGAAGATCTATATGTTCTGTTTACTCATGAAAATTTACATGATAACAAGCTAGCTGATCTTTGATCTGCTCACATGATCACCCATTTATGTAGTTTGCAGTTGTTCTGCCTTAGCTGTGCGCTTTACCAGTTGTTCTGACAGGTATATAAACCCTTGTACTTGTCTTGCTTTTTGTACCTCATCCTTTATAATATCAATCAAGTTTGTATACGCTTTATAACCAACAAATACATCCAGATTAACAGTCTTTATGATATTTCTCTCTTAGATCAATATTGTTAAGCGCTGTCCTACATATGTAATCAACTTGTAACAATTGAATATCAATTGTTACATGTTGGTTTCCTTGATGAATAAGCATCTTTATTGACAGGTTTGCTTGCCATGACATCAAGGTGGGCTCAAGTCTTTCAAGACAAATTTTTGCAGTCCAAAAAGGAGTTTTGACAGACTGGAAGACCTCCCGCTTTGCGGTTTTTGAAAACTCCTTTTGGAATGGGGATTGAGGTTTTTTTTGGCTCTATAAAAGCTGCCAAAAGGCATTCTTTGAACAGCATTTTTTTGGATTTCAACCAAGTTTTTGGGAAAAAACACCAAAAAACACGCCAGCAAACGCACCCTAAATCTGTGTGACCCTTCGTACATGAGGTATTCTGAATTCATGGCACGGCTGTGAATTCTCTTAAAGTGAATAATTGAGTGAAAAGTAAATTGTGGAATCATGATAGCAGATAATTATATAATGAAACTAAGTTTAATTTTGTTGTTTTTTAGGGAAAGATGAACATGGTACTGTAGATACAAGATCATTGCAAGGTGTTATAAAAAATAGAGAAAAATGCAAATGAATTTGATAACACTATAAACATTTTAAACTTAATGTAGGAAGTTCAGCTTATTGATACAAAACCTATAATTCTTCGCTCCTCCAATCTGAGTTTGCCCTAGAAGAAATCATGACAACAGAAGTAAAGCTTAAGTCATTTAGATATAAACAATAACTCACGGAAAAAACTGAGCAGGAAAAAAATTACCCTTTGATACTTTGAGGATATGAAAACACGTTTTGAGGGTCATAAACAGACTTGATTTGTGACAAACGTTGATAACTACATATAAGAAAAAAAGAGTTCAGAACTATAAGAAAATGAGTATAAAACAGTTCGAAGAATGAAAACTCAACTTGTCATTAAAATAGAGATCCTGCCATTCAGTGGAAGCCAATCGATCATCATCCAAGTTGGCATAAGCGCTGTATGTACAACGAGAGGTGCGAATGTTTCAGTCTGTTCTTTTTTTACCCATGGTGGGGCTTCGATTTTGGTGCTTACCCGTATGCCCGTCCGTTTCCTACGAGGGCCGAAACCATCTCATCTATGAAGCTAAATCCTTCGTCGGGAAATGGTGGCAGATAATCTTTGGATGAGGCGTAGAACTACATGAAAGAAAAGATATAAACAAATGTAAATGGATTTTAAAAATGAATTTATGGGGGAGCATGAGCTGAATGACTCACATGCATGCTCAATAGGATTGATCTTTGAGCGAAAGCTGTTGCATCCTTGGCAACGGAAGTTATAGCAGAATTCTGACCACCCCAAAGTTCAAATCGAGCGATCCAGCGCTGAATGCGGCAGAATATTTTTTTGGTCAGCAATAAGAAGTAGATATGATAGTATCAAATCCATTGAATACCGTATCTGATATCCAACCTTCTGACGCGAGGTGTTTTGAAAAAGCTCGAATGGATGCATTCGAAATGGGTGTGGAATCTGAAGTTGTCAAAGACTTTGCGTAGAAGGTATCATATTGATCCGTGACGTCTATATCTATGGTATCACACAAAGTCCAAAAAGGTTCACTTCTCCACCATGATGGGAGGTAAGAATCAAAAGAATGCTAACTCGAGCTCAAAAGCGCTTCTTGACTTGTTACCCTGGCCATACCTTGCACATCGGTAAGCCAATCTCTTTTCTCTATCAACGTTGTTGTTGGTGTTGGCTGTAGGTTTTCAAAAGATTAGAGTGTGCTCAGATGTTCATATAGACTAAGAAGCTTACCATGACGTCTAACCATTTTTGAATCACCGTTGGAAACTTTTTGCTATCACCAAACCAAGCACCAACAAAACCAAACTTCAAACGTCCGGGTTGGCTTCCTCGTTGAAAATTGACTCCCATTCCGAGCTCTGAGGGGAGGTTAGATTGACAAAAGGCTTGAAACTCGATGAGCGCGTTTGCAGAATCGTCTTCAGTGAAGTCCCACCGAAAGGCGAAGTTGAGAAGCTCATTCGGAGCTGGATGCGTTTGGAATTTGATCGATGTCATTATGCCGAACGAGGCGCCTGCACCTCTCAAAGCCTGTTAACTCGTCAGACTGTCTAATCATTGATGATTCAACGTATGGAATGATAGAAAAGCTTCATACTACCTACCCAAAAGAGGTCTGGATTGTTATCTTTCGATGCATGAACAATCGTACCATTTGCTAGTACTACTTCGTGACCAATGATGTTATCCAAGGTCATACCCCACATTCGACTTGCCCAACCGAAGCTGGAAATCAAGGAAACTGATAGGTCACCAAATACGACAGCTGTTTATTACTGGCCTACTTACCCCCCAAATGCTGCGTGACCTCCAATACCGACGTACGGGCACGATCCATGAGGAAGTGCGCGGCGACCTTGAGAATAGATTCCAATAGCCACATCACCCAGTCTATTTCCGGTTCCAATAACAGCTTGTCCTGTTGACTGATCGACGGAGATTGTGTTGAGTAGCGTTACATCGACGACTAAGACACCGTGATCTCCTCCCAAACCAAAGGCGGCAAATGAATGTCCACCTGAGCGAGGTGAGACTACATACAAGACGCAATCAAAATGATAGTATGAGTGCTAACGAAGCGGTTTCTGAGCATTCATCACAACATGAGCTCACCTGGAAGGTTTTCTTCCACAGCTACTTTAATAGAATCCGCAACAGCTTGAGTGCTATTAGGGAAGACAATACCAGCTGGGAGATAAGTGAAGCGTAAGTTGTAAGGTATGGCAAATTCTTCATAATATGAGTCTCCTGGAAACACAGCGTCGATTCCCAACTCGGAGAACTTGAGTCGCAAAGAAGCAGTATCTGCTTCAACATAACAAACAAGGCTCAAAGCGCACGATACGATAAATAAAGAGGTAAGCATCGTTATATAGTGTTTTATTCGTAGAAGAAGATGCGCGGGGTCCTAAGCTTTGAGGTCGAAATCAATAAAAAGACACAGAAAGGATACCAGCCTAGGGAAATGGTACGGAGTCGAGTACTTGTTATTATAAAGCTGCACCACATATAATCTCGATTGCACATCCAAGGATGACTTTCAAGAAGAGGCATCGGATCAGACGTTGTATTTGGTTTCGGCAATGATCCCCAGAAGTTGTCGACTAATCGTACTAAGGTCATTCATCCAGCTCATCCAGATCGTCGATCAAATGTCTCGAGGCGACTGATCCATTTCCTCGCGCTAGAGAACCCGAGCCCTTTTCGATCTGCTCCACCAAACTTGAACTTTCGAACTGTCTTAGCTGCTCAATCCACCCAACTTGAGCCACGCTCAGTAGTGTAAGCCTGTTGTATACTTCTCTAACAAGAGAAACGTAAAGTACAACACAAAGATAAATTAGCCTTGATTGAATTGTTTGTAAACTTCTCCCACATCGCAAATCCTGTCTTATCGAACACTTTCAACGTAGACCCAACTTGCAAAAAACCTCAGTTCAACAAAAGCCAATCAAACACTCAATAAAAGAGAACCAAGTAAGAGATTTAATCAATTCATCAAGTATTAAGGATCATCAATATCTGAAATCATAAGTGAATGATGATTACAAAAACCACCAAAAAAAATGATCTGACATAACTGAAAACATTACTATAGAGAACAGAAAAAAAACAGAAAGACTCACAATCAAATCAACTAATATAAAAGACGCAATAGAAGATATGTATACAACTATAAACATACAAAAAATACGTGTAACAAAATCTGACAAAAAAGGATTTATAGAGATGCAAACTAGAAGGCAAAAAATCTGGTTAGAGATAAACGATATTCAGGTAAAATGAATAGGGTAGATTAGGGAAACAGAGACAATTTTTTAGTTTTTGTTTTAATAATGGGTTATAAAGTGATTTTTTTAAACATTTTGGGTTTTTTTAAAAGGAAATTCAAAAGATAAAAGAAATCAAAAATATGGGTAGTAGTAGTAATGATGAGCAGAATTTGATTTTTTTTGTTAAGTGTTGTTAGCATTAAGTACATGATCAAATGAAATAAAAGAAACTAAGGAATAAGAAGAAAAATAATTAGAGTTACATTGAGAAAGTTTTATTTTTGATTTTTCGATTGATTTTTCGATGTTTTTTTGTCGATTTCGTTAATTGGTGGTTTGATCAAGGATATTAAAAATTCTGCTGTTGAAGAACTAAGAAATTTAAACTTGTATCTTAATAAAAAAAGGAGGATTGAGGATAAGATGACAAAAAATAACCCAATAACCAAAATCACTCAAAGATAGAATCATAATGTTAAACTTACCTTTTGAGTTTCTCCCCTTCTCATTTTACAAACTTGATAGATTTCATCCTGAATCTTCTAAAGCCAATCTAGCCACAGATCCTACCAAGATTCTACCATCAACATCAAATGATTCGATCCCATTCTCATCTTCATCTAATCCTATCAATTGATCACCATGATTAAGTTTTTCTTCAAAAGATTCATAACTATTTCGATGAAATCTTTCTTCTAAAACAGATACATCAGCTACCGACTCTCCTAATCCTAAGACTGGAGCTCCTTCATAAACACCCATTCTTCTAGTAAACTGTAACCCTCATACACAAATTCAAGAGAGAAATCGTCAGTCAAAATTCACAAACAAACCCCTGTTGAAGAAAGAAATCAATCATCTTAATGTTCTTTTGGAAGGGTGGTCACTTACATGATAAAAACTTCTCCAATATGGATCAACCGTTAATGTTTCAGCATTACCAACTACAATTAATAGCTCTTTAGGTCTAGTAAGAGTGACATTAAACCTTTGAGCTTCAAAGATCAATCCTCTATCTCTTCTTCTATCATCTTCAATATGTTTTTTATGATGTGATCTTACCGTACTCACAATCACTACCCGACTAAAGGAAAAAGCAAGCAAAAACATGTTAGATCTTTTCTTTGATTCAGTGGATGAGAATTTTTAGAATGATAAGAATTAATCAATCAATGGTAAGTACTTTTCCCCACCCTGTAAGCTTTCAACTGTACCAACATCTACATCACTCAATCCAATCTTTCTCAAAGCCAATCGAATCACCCAAACCTGTTCTCTAAAAGGAGTAATAATCGAAATTTGACTAGGTTTTAAACCCATTAACTTTTCTCCATCTTTTTCCATTCCATTAAGTTGATTTGAATCAATTGATCCATCAAATTGATTTTGACTGATTGATTCAGATGATTGTTTCATTAACTCAATCACAAATCCAACCACGATTTCAGATTCTCCAATGTTATACCAAGATGAACCTTCATCTACCCAATCTTCTGCAAACGAAACGTTTTTAAAGATGATCGGACATCCTTTTTTAGGTAATCGATTCCAATTTAATAATTCTGTGTTTTGGATTTCTTTAGGTGCGTATGGTTCTAATGCATCATTATAAAATAATGTAGATGGTAACATCAAGATTGATGGATGTGATCGGTAATTTTTTGTTAACTTGATGCGCATACATGAATATATGCATGTAATGGTTTTGGGGCAGGGATGCAACAATCGAGTATTACTATCAGCAGAAGCCTGGGAGATGGCGGAATCACTGAGGAGAGAAATGAGTATGGGAAAGGCTTACATTGACTACATGTTCATACTCTCCTTCAGAATGACCTACACCGGTGCCATGACCATTCAGCGAGTGTTGCAGACGAGAGCCATGACCATTGGTAGCTTGAGATTGTGATGGGCTTATAGAATAACCATTAGTAGGAGAATGATGAGGAATAAGTGAATTCGACCGATTTTGAATTTTCTTCTGTTTTTGATGCTCACTTAAGATTTCATTATAAACTTTACATTCTAATAATCTTTGTAAAAATGAAAGATCTAAACCTAATCTTCTACTCAATTCACTTACTACTTTAGGTCCTAATTGTTTTATATCTCCACAAATTAAGATTTGTGGTAATTCTTGTAAATGATTGGTTTTGGGATCTGGTATCATAATTGAGATTGGAATAACTAATTCAGGTTCAGTAGCTTGTGCAGCTTCATCTATTAAAAGATGAGTAAAATGTGGTCTGATGAGTTTTTTGGGTTCTGAGTCACTCTTTTCTTCGGTTTCGGTTTCGATTGTACTTGAAAGATTTATCGGTTTTGATCTGGGATGAATTGATTCGTATAGAAATCTTTCAAATCGTTGTAATGATGAATTTGAACAATAAGACGATTCTAGCAACGAAGCATCGATACAAGATGTTACGATCACTCGTTTCGACAATAATTGCCTGTATGAGTTTTAGTTTGATGTATGTATGATCGAATCAGCTTTTCCTTTCATTGATAACTGTTGGTGGATTTTTTAGTAATGTTTTTTGAATTGAGACTTGAACCCTCACCAAACTTACATGAGAGGTGGTAAAGCAAAATGACCATCTTCCAAATAACAATAAGATAATAATTGAGGTTTGATCTCTTCGAATGGTCTACTAGAATCGTTCAATCTGAAAAGTTCATGTGGTTTCAATTTAGTTTTTAATCTAAGAGCTAATGTATCAGCTGATGGATTAGATGCACCACAAACTAAGATATGGCTTTCTGGATCATTTGATAAGATTTGAAAGACTGCTTCTGTGATCGTTTTAGTTTTACCTGTACCAGGTGGACCTGAGATTAAAAATGGAACGATTCGATTGTATCCTACAAATGATTGGATGGCTCGTTTTTGATCCAAATTCAAGTCTGGATCTATCCATTTGAATTCTAAATTGCTTTGGCTTTCATGTATGGATCTTTTCTTTCTTTCGACCTTTTGTAGATGAACAGGTTCGGGAAAAAGCCAAGCTGTGACGTTATTGATGGGTGATGAGTGAGATTGAGATGCGGTGGGAGTGAAAAGTGGCCAAACTGGTGCTCTTCTCAAACCCTGATCAATTTTCTCACAAGCATAATGTTGAGCATAGAAGCAACGATCTTGAGGTTTATAAAGTACATTACAAGTCAATGAGACTTGATCTTCTCTCATCACTGAGATCAATTGAGGACATTCGAAGGTGATAAAACCAGTTACACGTTTGATGGCACAAACTCTAGCCTCATATTCGTACCCGTCTGATTGGAGGTATTGAGGATATAATAATCTGATAGCTATCAGATCACCTAATTCGATGGGTGGCCAACCTTCTCGAACGGATTTAGCTTCTAGATTGAAAAAAGCTCTCTGAGGATCTACAAGTTGAATATCAACCAGATATAACTGAGCAGATTTGAGTTGTTGAATCCTAGAGGAATGCTCAGAAGCAATGAGTGGTAAGAATCTGATAGCATAATGATTCAATGATAAACTTGGTAAATTCGGTATGGTCTGATTGTTTTGATGAGCGTTGGGGTCAGATTCTGCGGTTGATGTAGGTCGAGATGAATTTAAAAAGGTCGACCAAGAGATTGAGTTAGATTGAAATGCAATTGCTAATTCAGATTGAACGATTAAATGATGTTCTCGAGTTTCAGCTTCAAGGTCAAGTAAAAATGATCTTGGAAGTAAAGATTGAATATAAGCTTTAGATTCATCTGGGTTTAATCTTCTGGGCTTGGTTGGTAAATTGATTTGAGTTACTGAAGAGTTTTCGGATACATTCAAAAGCCAACGTGGGATGAATGGTTTTGCAAAACGATCAAGTGTGGGCGGTGTTGGTGTTGGTGTCGGTTGTTGTTGTTGTTGATAGTGTAAGTTTGATGGATTGAAAGGATGCGAGTTCATCAAATGAGAAGGATTGATGTGTAGGGTTGGGGTTGTTGTTGAGTTTTGTTGTGGCTGCTGTTGATCGAAAGTATTCCTCGCTGTTATGGGGCTGATAGTTTTGATAGTCTCGATACTTAAAGCTTGATGAGGATAATGATGAGATGATAATGAATTTGAACTTCTTTCAATCCTCATCCTTCTTAATCGTCATCAGAGTTGATTTAGCTTCTGGACAGTCGATTTGATTTTCTCATTCAATCAATCCTGCTCTTCACTCCTTCAGAGTTTAAAGAAATAATAGGTGGGAATGGTATGTATTTTGTTGAGAATGGTTGATAAGAGATATTGGTGTTTACTTTTAAAGGCTTTATCATGAAAATCAACTCATCAAGGTTTCAAAGGCAAAATCAAAAATATCAAATTGTACAAACGACTTTGGTCATTTTGTACATACACCAACTCGCACGTGACTTTCTCAAAATCAGGGTTCCAATGCTGATTGTGACTTTCTCAACTACTTAAACATTCCACCTCAAGAAGTCAACGAAAGAAGTCAAAGCTATGCAGAAATATTTGCTGGTTCAAAATATGCGATCAAACGTGCTGAAATAGGTCGAAATCTCAAGCTTAGAATCTCGGGGCTCCTTATACATTTAGAGCCCGGAAAGAATATACCCGAAGCCCGCTACACCCTCGGGATTCGGAGATCTGTATGAGATATTTCACGTGCAAGGGACCAGGGTTGGTTGAACTTGAAGCAAGGGCTAAGAAGATTGGAAAGAAGAAAACTAAAAGCAACATCAGCACCATGAGTTCCAATTCTAACCATCAGATTATCAATTCAAACTCAACTTCAACTTCAACAATCAAATCAAAACTACTATCAACAACAACAACAACAACAAATGCAAACCAGATCGCTTCATCAGCAAAACTAGCCTTCGATAAATTTCAATCTTCTTCATCAGAATCAAAGAACTTGGCACTTCAATCATTAAAACAAACATTAAGTGAACATAGAGAAGAAGTCATTCAAGCTAATCAATTGGACCTTCAAGTAAGTTATCAATCTTTTCATCTAGTCACTAATTCAACAGAAGCAAGTTTAATGACTGACTTCCCTTTATGTTCTCAAAGGCAGCAAAAGAAGACCAGAACACTACTCAAGCAATCTTAAATCGATTAGATCTACTATCATCTCCTAGCAAATATGATCAAATTCTGGACGGAATTGACGATGTGATTAAGTTGGATGACCCAGTTGGAATTGTACAATCAATTCAAAAACTAGATCACAACTTGGAGCTTTATAAAGTCACTTGTCCGATCGGTGTCCTTCTTATCATCTTTGAATCTCGTCCAGAGGTTATCATCAATATCACTGCCCTTGCGATCAAGAGTGGTACGTCTTCATCTTGATATTTCTCATATCTTTAGAAAAATCTAACTTTCTCCTATCTTTATGCACCAAACAGGTAACGCTGCTATCCTCAAAGGTGGTAAAGAAACTTCACAAACTCAAAAAGTTATTACCAATCTTATTCACGCATCACTAGTTTCTTCATCTTTACCATCCAATTTGATCCAAACTGTATCAAGTCGATCTGAGATTAGTGAACTTTTGAAAGAAGACCAATTTATTGATTTAGTGATCCCTAGAGGTTCAAAACAACTTGTACAAAATATCAAATCTAATACTAGTATACCTGTCTTGGGGCATGCTGATGGACTTTGTACCATTTATGTGGATAAAGATGCTGAGATAGATACTGCTATCAGGTGTATCATTGACGCAAAGGTTTGTTCTTTTCTTATTCTTCATCGATATCATCCTCGATAATCTAGGAACTAATTTTTGTCTTACCCTTTTCTACTCCGGATACACAGACAACATACCCAGCTGCATGCAATTCGGTTGAAACCGTCCTTATTCATCGATCACATCTGACCACGAACTCAAGATTCACCGAATTGATCCTTGCTTTACTCAATTCCAAAGTGACCCTCAAACTTGATCAATCAATCTTAGATACCCTCAATCAATCTCAATCCGTTACCTCACATCCACTCTTCTGGACGAATTGTTCATTATCCAAACCAGAAGATTATCAAACTGAATGGCTTTCATTAACCCTCTCAATACATACGATTGATAGTCTTCAAGAAGCAATAGATCATATCAATCAATTCTCTTCACATCATACTGATTCAATCATAAGTAAATCAGAATCAAATTCTAACAAGTTTTGTAAAGAAGTCAATAGTTCATCTGTCTTTGTGAATTCGTCGACAAGATTTGCAGATGGTTATCGATTTGGATTTGGAACTGAGATTGGAATTAGTACATCTAAAATTCATGCAAGAGGTCCGGTTGGATTAGATGGATTAGTGATTTATAAATTCATTTTGAAATCTTTAGATCAAAATGGTCATATTACCAATGAATTTGGTGATCAAACTCATCAAAAGAAATATTTACATCAACCTATTGAACTTGATGGTTCTAAAGTTCCTTATTGATTTTTTTTGTGTTTCAGGGAAACTTTATATATATATATCTATTTTATGCTTGTATGCAAACACTTGATTCGAATATATCATCATCTTGCTTTCTTTCTAGAGTGTTTGCTGTTTGTTTCTTTGTTGGATGCACGAAATGAAGTTTGGAAGGACGTGTAAATCAAACGTTTCAAGAGACGAAATGAGTGTATCCCTTGAGTGTGATTGAGTTGAGCGCATTCTCGGAAGCTTGTCCCTTGAAGTTTGTGTGAGTCGGACGATGAAAAGCTATGGCTTTAAACCGCAATGACAGCTGATAAGGTCCATTGTATGGGTTTAAGTTCTCATTGAGACCTTGATGACCGATGTCATAGAAATTGAATGCCATGTATGCGGCGATTCTACAAAAAACCGATTCATGAGCATTTCCAAGGACCAAGACCAATTCTAGATTCACATTCATCATGCCATCAAACAAAAAGAATCATCAAATCAGTTCAAATAGCAAATCAAACAAGAATACCCAATCGTCAACAACAACAACAACAACCCCAACTACAAACATCCAATCAACCACCAAAAGAAGTTCATTACCAATCACTAAATATTTCTCAATCGTACCACTTCATCTTTTATTCACCTTTTATTCAATTCATATCTTACCATCTCAATCATTATTAACAAGTACAACAACACACTCAAATCCAACAGAAAAATCAATCAATTTAAAGAATTTTAAATGGTTTGAACCTTTAATTGAAAACCCGATCAGATCATTAAGTTTTATAAATTTAGGTTTATTATTTGTTCAAATATGGTTTGCTAGTTCATTAAGAAATTGGAAAAGGAATAGTACTACGATTAGAAAGAATGATAGTAGTAATACTGATTCAAATTCGAATGAAAACAAAAGGAAAAAGAAGTTGGGTTTAGAGGTTTTTTGGAAAGTTTTTGATGATGTTAAGAATAAGAGATTTGACCCTGTGGCTAGGAGAACGATTTTAGAATTAATAATTGTAAGTGATCATCAGTTTTTTGCATCTTTCTTTTCAGGCCAAGACAAACGAAACTTAAGACTTATTTTCTATTATTATTTCTTTTTCGTACGGGGGGGTTTTTGAAGCCAATACAAGATGCATTAATTATAACGATTTTATTTTCATTTATTATTCATTTGATGATCATTTTAATTGGAGCTCCGATTTTGAAAAACGTCATCAAAACTTATGGTTTATCTTTAATGATTTCGATTTTATCTATCTTACCTTCTGCACTGGTGATTGGTTGGAATCAAGGTCGTGAAAAGATGACTTGGATTCGAATCTTTTCTGAATTTGAGTTGAGTGGATTATTTTCATTTTGGTTTTTGGTTAATGAGATCAAAAAAAAAAGTTAAGTATGAAAGGAGAATTAATGAAGGTTTTTCTTCGATTGTTTTTGTTTTCTTTCTTGGTTTCTGTAGACCTAAAAATGAATTAGAAATCGTTTTGATGTGGCCAGCTATTGGAACTTGTATAGGTACTTGGTTAGGAGGAATTCCAATTCCATTAGATTGGGATAGACAATGGCAGGTCAGTCAAACCCCCCCAAAAAAACAAATCTTTTCACTCTATTTTATAAAGAAATCCAATTTCATTCAAATACTCAGATTTTGTGATTTTGTTTTTGTTTGTTGGAAAAAAAGACATGGCCAATTACTTGTGTTTTTGGTGCTTCTATTGGTCATTTTTTGGGTACAGTGATAGCTATGGTATTAGTTGCAATCAGAGCACCCCTGACCAATTGATCTGAATCAGACAAAAACATCTTTCAATTTGATTCATGGTGGGTTATGTGATCTATGGTTTGATTCGATACAACTTTTCTCTTTAATTCCTGACACCTAGGAAAGAAGTTGATACAATACCATTAATGTTGTGATATTTTTCATGTTCTCTTGGACTATCATGGGCCAAGAAGTAGATATTGAGAAAGTTTCACTTATCCGCAGTTTAGACTTACATATCCTATTTCTTTTCAGACCTAGGTTGAGATAGGGACTACAGGGACAACATATTATATCGTGGAATCAAGTGGATCATCTAATATCTAAATTAAATACACTTCGTCATGTTGCTAAATGCAGAAGATCTCATGAAAATTCCTTGAAATGTGTGATAAACCAATATGGTTTGGAGTTCACGCTCACACCTGGCACCTTTTCTGTGGCCCAGGGCATGGCCAGGGCTGTGGCCTTGCATGGTGTGGCCCAGTGTGGCCTTCCATTAAAACAACCTCAATATCCTCATTTTTAGTTGCTACTCCCTGCTTAAGACAATCTTTAGGGAGGGCTTAACTGGATTTAATGCCCTTTGAAGGCCAGGAAGGGGTCAGGGTGAGTGCCATGGCGTGGCCTAAGCCCTGGCCCTGGTCATGTGCCCCTCCAGGGCGCCTTGTGGCTTTGTGGCACCGGGTGTGAGCGTGATTTGGAGTACATAAATTCATTCAGGTCATTTGTGTATTTCATTGACATATTTGATATTCTTTATCTAAGCCTTGTTTCATGAAGTTTTCTGGCTGGGTTCTTTTGGGATTGTGTTTTTGAGTGTTGTGTTCAATTTGATTTTTCAGACCCCTTATAAAACATTAAACAATTGACAGTTTTTTTGTGGTAAGGCCTGGTAGGACACATTGCAAAAGTGGACCCAGGCTTTGAAAAATCAATTCACAGACTCTGAAATAGAATTTGACACTCTATGATGTGTATCTGTACTGTTGTATCTAGATTCTCACCAAACAGATCATTGATAGATCTATGTACATGTGAATAGCTTCCGATTATTAGTAGTTTTAACTTCTCATGTGCTATGTACTTTTCTCAAACCATGTTTCACCATCTCATGTGCTGTGAACACTCAAAATTCAGAAGCACTTTTTGGATCTTCAATTTCCCTGTAACCTGCAAGCTCTTCCAATATAATTTCTGTCCTTTAAACAATTATATCCTCAAATTAATTGAAAGCTTGATTTTCATTTCTTATTGCATACCTTGCATTATGGACTGTTCAGCCTCATCAAGTGAGATCTAATAGGGGTTGGGCAAAAAACCAACCAACCAGTTTCCAAACCCTGTTCAATTGCAGTTCAAATTTTTGGGAACGCTTAAGAGATGGCTCAAAATTAATATCAAAGCCACACAAAACCAAAAAACATTTTTAGCCATCTTTTGCTTTCCAAAAATGTTGACTGGTATGATTGGTTTTGTGATCACGCCACCGCTTTAACCGTTCAAAAGCTCTTACAGGGAAAGCAATTTGTGGCGCCACAAGCCTTGCAAACACCCTTTTTGCACCTTTAACAGATCCGTGAAAGGTGCGAAAACTTGCCCCAGGTCTTCAAGCTGAGCTATTGGTGGGGCTGGAGGAGAAAAAGCAGACCCAAAGACTGACTTTGGGTCTCTTTGGGTAACCCGGCACAGAAACAGGTTTGTGAAACCTGCACCCAGTTGATTTTGGCCATCTTTGGCTTTAATTCTCAAGGGCGCAAAACCGGTTGGTCAGTTTTTTGCCCAACCCCTATTGGTGCAACTGATCATCTTTATCAAGGTTTCATACAGGGATTTGATAATGGAATTCCATATAAACTTTCAACCTTAGAACACATAAATCTTCAGCTAGATTCTGATTCTCAGCCACACAATATACAAGACTCAATAGATGACCTTGGACATCATGATCAATCCAATTTTCACCACTCATTATGAGAAAACTAAATTATTGCATCAGGAATGCTCAAGGGATTCTTGAGTCATTAAAATCATGATTCATTTTACAACAATTGGTCACAATCAATTACATATCATGGTCAAGAAGGAGATGCATTCAAATACAAAGCCCACCATTGAATTGGAACATCCAATCATTACACCATTGATACAATTGATTTCATGGTCTCTACACCTTTCATGTTACCTGAACTCTCTATATACACCACAAGGACACTTGGATACGTTCAGGATGTCCTCTTTTCTTGCAGAGGGCAAGACATCCTGACACGGTCTCCTGCAAGGCTTCCATTGGATATCCCCCTCAGATACCATCACGGAGTGTTTCAAGATGTGCTTGGACTGAGGACACCACCATGGCATCCAAAGGATGAAGTGAGGATGTCCCACCTCAGGGTCATCTCAATGATGGAAAAAAATGTCCAATATCAAGAGGCTGCTCAGAAGAGAGCAGTGTATATATTTGCAGCTATCCTTGATCCTTACCTCAAAGTCTATGTGGTCAAAGCATCAACCATGGAATTGCTTGCTTGTGCAACTGTCAATCTAGTCACACTATGTCAAACTGCAAGTTTACCGCTGAGTTTAGAAAATTGGGAAAACATAGAAAATTATAGAGAAGCTGGACAGGGTCAGAGCAATATGAAAAAATAATGGTTGAGGCCTGTGGTATATTCAAATCATCTTGCATATTTTTTCATATCTCTAAGGATTTTACTAAAAGCAGCCCCCCCTTGTGAGGGTTGACCACCCCCTTTTAGCCCAGGAAACAAAAACTATGATTGTATAATACAGATGTGGGATGGGAAGGGGGCAGTCTTGGACCGTCTAAAATCCAGGTGAATTGAAACCACAATGTGAACCCTCATATAGGGCAAAAAAGGTGATTCACCAGCTACAAATGGACATCATCCCGATAGCTGCAAGGCTATGTTTGTATTGTGGAGGAATGGGGCTATGCAAACAAAACAAAACATGACAGAAATTTTGAGAAGTTTCAGCAAATTGAGATTAAGATGACCCTTTCTCTCCCTTTCCTTCCTTGAAGCTGAGGAACAACAGCACTGAAATGCTGAGGCACTAATCACAA